CCAAAAATCGCCCCCCATATATCATCGTCGCTATGATAATGCAGAGTTGACTCCCAGCGATTTTGAAATCTTGGGTACGTCTTTTTAAGGAACAATTTTTAAAATACCTGTGATACTTTTTAATTCATCTGAATCAGTGAAATATTTTCGTTTCTAGCTTCTGTTATGTTATGACCACATGCCTCAAATAGTTTTCTCCAATTTTGTGGTACGGAGTTTCTTATACTTAAGTGTTCGAGAAAGTTAAAGTTAGATTGATATTTTGCATTGATCTCATCTATAGTGTAAAACTCGCCTAAGGCATTAATCAAATCGCATATAAAAAAGACACCTTTATCACACCACCTTTTCCAATAATAGGGGACATCATTAATTCTCACGCTTTCGTTATACCAAATAGGTTGTGATAAAATGTCGCTTGTCGACTCTGCGGGGCTCTCTTGTAATTCTGCCCATGCAGAAATAACGTTTTTCCAAAATGGATTGAAAATAAATTTTGTTTGTGAAAGGCCATTTTTCGTGAGATACCAAAAATTACGTCCCCCAATTTTTTCTAGGTTTTTCTTCAAAAGTACTTTCCATGCGCTGCTATGATTATCATTTAGATACTTTTTTACCCACGTAATTATTAGGGATTTTGTTAAAAGCCTAAAGTCAGGAGCGCGCAGTTCTCCCTCTTCGTAATTTCTTTTCATGGTTGATCTTTTTACTTTATCAATTGCGCTTCCCCAAATAAAAGCAAAAGTAATTTTTTCTAATTCCTTGAAGAAGCTTTCCTCGGGATTTGGTAAAACTGTGAGCATTTGTATTAGCAGTGGCATAGCAATCGTTCGTACTACTACTATTTTTCCTATCAAGGATAAAGTTCTAAATGACCAATCATCGAGTTCTTTTTTTGTTTTTATGAAGTTTTTCAGAGAAGTTTTCATGGTATATATCTTCTTTGGACAAGTCGTATTTTATACCTAGGAGCTTGAATTTTCCTTCAAGATTCCATTTTAGCTCTAGTTTGGTTTTTATTGTTTCCCTTTCCCCCCTTTTTGATCCAATCCAAACTGCCTCAGTTTTATTAAAATTGGTGCATAGTCCAGAACATTCTGCAAATAAGGTTATGATCTCCATAGTTTTTTCCAGCGAAACTCTGTCATCACTTAATATAACCGTAGTGTCGTCTGCGTACTGACTTGGTGGATATTCATTTCCCTCGATAGTAATTCCTTTTATTTCTTGCTCATGCTTTAGTGCCGAACTGAGTAATCCAATGACAAGATAAATAGATATGGGGACAGAGGGTCCCCTTGTCTTACTCCTCTTTTGATATCAAAGAATTTGGGCAAGTGTCCGTTATTTTGAATTGAACTTGAAATATCCTTATATAGTGTTCTAAACCATCTTATTATTTCTTCCCCAAAATTATAAAAGTGAAGTGTTTTTTCAAAGGAAACCCATTCCAAAGAATCGAAAGCTTTTTCCATGTCAAGTAGTAGTAAAACTCCGGATATGTTTTCTTTTTCAGTTTTTTCTATCAAGTCGTTCACCAACCGAGTGCACTCCCCATAGTAGGCTTGTTAAGGACCAAAAAATGGCCAAACGCTGCATTTTGTAGTACAAATGTCTAACTTGGCATAAATGTTCCTTGGGCCAAAAGAAAATTTTTTATCCAAAGAGACGCCCTCTATCGATACATTAATTAGCATAAATTATGCAAATTATGTGCCAAAATATATAATATTTCATATTTCCATTAATTTTTGGCCTAGAAACATGTATAGATTATCAAACCTGACTAAAGAAGGGACAAGGAACCCATTTTTGATCATTTGGAAGCAATTGGTGGCCATTTTGTGCCTCAAATCCAAGATGGCC